TACCTAATTGTTGATAAATATATCCGCTACTGTTCCTGCCTCTTGGTTAGGAATTGCGTACACCTCTGGCCATTTGCTGAAATAGTGCATGACTACCAAAACATATCTCTTTCCTAATTTACTGATAGGAAATGGACCAGCTACATCCATGGCTACTCGCTCAAACGGCGCACCTGAATTGTACTGCTTCATCTGACTATGACTCTTGGACCGCGGCCTTTTAGCAGCAATGCACTCGACACAATTGGCGATCCACTCCGTAACTGATTGACGACAACCAACCCAATAAAATATTTGTTTTAATTTCTCCAAGGTTTTAGTAATACCCATGTGTCCTCCACTTGGACCGTTGTGCAGCTCGTTGAGAACATCAGGAATTCTTACTTTTGGAATAATCATCAGAGCTCGTGAACTTTGCCCATCTTCGCTTTCCCATACGCGATGCAGCAAGCCAGACACTAATTTTAAACTATTCCATTGTGCCCAATAAGCCTTAGCGACTGGGCTTTCTGCAGTTATTTCTTCTCTCGTTGGACGTTTATTCATCTCCAATTTATGTATTACACTTTTCAAATCTGGGTCCTCTTGCTGACATTTCCGTAGCTTCTCCGGATCCCATTCTGATTTTATAGTCATTAATCGGACATCTATAATATCTTCTTTGGCCTCAGCTTTTGAGCAATGCCTGCATTCCAGATTACAGGGACGGCGTGACATGGCATCAGCATTTCCATGACTACTACCTTTGCGATGTCCTATATAGAAGTCGTAACTTTGGAATTGCAGAAACCATTTTAATGCTGCATGATCTGTCCTCACCCGAAATCGCTGGCAATAAAGGTATTTATGAAAATGTTTGATGCACTTCACCAACGCCAGTAATTCCCCCCGAGTAACGCAATAATTTCTCTCTGGCTTGCTTATTGTCTGGCTGTAATATGCAACCACTTTTTCATGCCCATCAACTTGTGATAGAACGAAACCTACTGCAAACCCACTAGCATCCGTATCCAAAAAAAACGCTGATCCTGGGACCGGGTATGTTAACATTGGCGCAGGACTTAACCGCTTCTTCAGAGTTTGGAAAGCCACTTCCTGTTCTTTATTCCATTCAAAAACTCTGTTCTTTTTCGGGAGTTCATGGAGGCTAAAAGCTACGCTGGCAAAATTTGGAACGAATCGTCTATAATAAGTACACAGTCCAAGGAAACTCCGCAATTCATGTAAATTTTTAGGAGCGGGCCAATCTCTTACTGCCTCGATCTTTTCATTAGCTGTGCAAATGCCCCACGTTGTCACTTTGTATCCTAAGTAGCTTACTTAAGTTTTAAAAAGGGAACACTTCTTTGGACTCAGATTCAGACCAGCGCTAGCTATCCGTTGAAAAACCTATTCCCAGTTCTTAAAGTGTTCATCGAAGCTTTTACTCAACTCGATGATATCGTCGAGGTATACCAAACAGGTCTTCCATTGTAATCCTTTTAATACCTGGTCCATAGGTCTCTCAAAAGTAGCAGAAGTGTTACATAATCCAAAGGGCATTACGGTAAATTGCCATAGACCACCTCCAACGCTGAAAGCAGTCTTTTTTTTGTCTTGTGGGCTCAACAATCCACCACTTGTTTGGCCCATAGTCTCTCTAATGTTGTACTTATTATTGTAACCGAACATAAGTGGTACTTCCATATTTCTATAGGACATAGTCCTATTTTTCATGTTAATTTTGATTCCTTGATTTGCTAGAAAGTCTACTCCAATTATGACTTCGTCAACGATATCTGCCACTATACAATTGTGTAACACGGCTGCCTTTCAAATTACGATCTCGCACGTTTTATTTCCGTGAACTAGGGTATCTTCTCCAGTTGCAGTATGCAACTTTGCCTCAGCTAACGGTCTCACTTCTTTCTCAACCAGATCAGATCGAATTATGGAATGTGATGCGCCCGTATCTACAGTCAGTATGCGCTTTTTACCGTCTACACATCCACTAACGGTAACGTTACTCATATTCCTGCTTATTTGTGAAATGGAGATTACAAGGCATTTGCTTGCGTTAGCCAGCCCATGCCCTTTTCGGCTGGATCGCTTTAGTTTAAATTTTGGTTTGATTTGACATTTGCTTGATATTCCTCAGCTTTGCGTTTACGTCCAACTGGATTATAGGGCTGGTTACAGTTGCGTGCAATATGGCCACATTTTCCGCAGTTGAAGCATTTAAGCACACCATCATTTTTCTTATGCGCTTCCGTAGATTTTTCCACTGCTTTCTGCATGTTGTAAATTTTTTCAAATAATTGGTTCAACCAAGTGTTTTCCTCTATTTCTACTTTGTGAGCTTTAAATGTTTGATTGCAAAGCAGAGAAGCAGTTTCCTGTGTCAGAACATACGCTACGGTTTCTGTAAACGTCAATTATGGACATGCTTATGCAGCGAAGCGTATTGTGCTATCTCGTATCCCATTGACGAAAGTCTGAATTTTCGTGTCCTCGCTGTATTCCATGGATTTATGTGCATAAGCTATTTGAGCTAACCTCTCAATCTCTGTAGAAAACTCCTGCGAGACTCATTGGCTTTCTGGTGGCGATTTCGCAACTCGATTTGAATGATCTGCTTCCTGTGCTCACTACCATACCGTCTTTCTAATGCACCCATCAACATTTTATAACTACTCGCCTCGCAGTTTAGAATTATCTGTAATATCTCCGCTGCATATCCTTTTAATGCAACGAACAATGCAACTACTTTATCTTCAGCGTTCCAATTATTTGAAGATGCCGTCTTTTCGAATTGAAGCTTAAAAACGTGAAACGGATCAGTGCCATCAAAGGATGGAGGTTTTACCTTGGCAGAAGCTGTTGACACAATTGGCCGATTTAATTGTAGCTCACGAAGACGATCTCTCAATTCATCCACTTCAGTTTTAATTTGATCCCGCTCTTTCGAAATCGGTGAGGACACTTCTGCTATTTGTGTGGTCATCTGCAATATCCGTGCATCCTGCTCTTTCAACTGCGAGGACACCTGTGCTGATATACGTGCATCCTGCGCTGCGAACTGCTCTTCTAACTGTAAGGACACCTGTGCTGATATACGTGCATCTTGCGCTACGAACTGCTCTTCCAAATGCGTTGACAATCGCGTTTCTAACTGCGACATTTGGAGGGACATACGTGCATCCTGCTCTTTAATTTGTGTCGATATTTGCGTTGACACCTCCGTTGATATCTGCGTTGACATTTGGGACATTGCAGCAAAAACCATGTTTATGTCCGCTATCTTTGACGAGCATTGAGCCTCTTCTTTTTCTTCTATCTTTGTTGTCACTTCCTCTAATTCCATATGAAAGACATATTCCTCAACATTAATGTTTTCCGCCTCCATGGCCTCTCTCAACCGTGATTGTAATTCAGTTTTTAATCCATTTGTCGCCAAACCACGTTGCTCCAGCTCCTTTTTCAGTTGTGGAATCTTCAGATCGTAAGCTTGGGCATTTTCAAATAATTATCTCCTTGGGAATTTATTTGACAATCCCACTTCTAACACCATTTGTAACGGATTTCTCGATAAATCTTCTACCTTGTAACTTACTCTTGAGTTCGATCACTGGATTGTTAAATTAAAGTCCCAATTTAATAGCTATACACTTATCTTTATTTCTAATGCCAACAACTTAACACTTATTGCTCGATATTCGAGTTTACAACTTATAGCTTAATTGCTTTTTACACGGCAACACTCTAATTAGAACTATGTCTGCTGCACAATCCGGCAGCCCTTATATAGTAAATTCTTAACAAAAGTTCGCTACTAGAACATTCTGGCAACTACGAATTCGCTGTCTAGTTGCTTCTGGCAGTTTATCGTCGATTCTGATTTGTTCTGGTATTCGTGTTCGCCACAATACCAAATATGTCACGCTTCCGTCGAATGATAAATGTTGTGTTCTTTATCAACATTCATACGTACGCAACATGTTGCTACAGAGAATTATTGTTGATATTGCAGCTCGGCGGCTAAGCGAAAACATATTAAGGACTATAACTAAGCTCCAAATAAGATACAAAACCGTCATTTAGTACAAGCTATCGTAGTGGAAAGTGACATCTGTGGGCGGAAAATTTTTAAAAAGTGGCCATGGCCCACTCTCTAATAGGTTTATTGTACATATCTCACAAAACACTAAAGCTGTTTCAACCAAACTTTCTGAAAGGAAGTCTATATGCTATTTCTTTATGTACTGTGAAAAAGGGTTAAATCAGATGATATCCACACCCACTCCTTATATGACGTGCATGTTGAAAGTTACTAAAAGGACGATATACTAATAAATAATTTCAACAGAAACATTTAATTTTACACCCGAGATTGTACAGAAGGCCTTTTTAAAACGGTATCAAAATTAAATAATGGGCGCGGCACCGCCCACCTTTAGATGAAACTCTATTCAGGAAATACTTGACTAATTGCAACCAAATTCAATGCATAACATTACTTAGACATTTGTATAAATGTTACGGTGCGAAATCGGACAACAATGACGCCTATTTTTCATACATAAAAAAGTCAAAGAATCTGATGAAATATGAAATTGTGTTATACAGAAAGTTAACTTTATTGTAGTCCAATTCCGCTTGTTTTGAACGGTAGGCGTGATTAATATCTAATTTTACCCATTTTCAGATCGCACCAAGATGGATGTTTTCATTAAGTAGACGTAAGAGAAGTTAAGGAGTTTGAAAGATACTAAATATTTATAGGTATGTATATTAAAACTACTATTGGCGAGCATGAAATTGGTTTTGAATTGAGTTGCATTTGAATTGGGAATACATGTGGATACACAAAAATACAGGAGTACAAACACGAATTACTAAAATACTGATAGAAAAGCAACACTGACCAACTTTTAGTAAGATTATATTAAAGAGATCAGACCGAATGTGCGGTTAACTATTACTTGAACATATATAGTGGAGTAAAGTACAAATTTACTTACCTTAAATCCATATACTGCAAATAATAGATGATAATCGACAAACAGAACCACAAAATTCATTTTGAAGTTTCCAAAGAACTGGAAAAATTACAAAAATGTATATGTAGCTTTTAAACATAAGAAAATTATTTTTTATTTAATTTACAATTCACAATTGATAACGAAATTTGTAAGGACAAAAACTAACATATTCACTAAACGCAAAAATTATGCTAATTATATATGTATATACTATTCTAAGATATCTTGTGAGAGTTTTGTTTGTTTTGTCATAGTTTCCACTGGAATATATTTTAATCTGGTTTTTGCCTTTAGCAAAAATGATTGTTTAAGCATGTTTGATAGATTTTGTAGCATATAAATAAGAATTCAATTTACTAACTTTTTTATATTTGAGTCGCTGGATTATTGTGATCATATGGATGCAAAATGGCTTACGACATATAATGGGATATTTTAATTATCGTTACATGTTGCACAGAGTTTATTTACGTACCGGTTGATTGTAACATTTAACTCTAATCGAGGTGAATACATACAAAAGTAATCAAAATAATCAGGGGTTACTTTGTAAGGCGCAAGTGAAAATTTTCGCTATCGCTTCAAAACTACGTTGAAAATTGCGTTTATCCTATTCGCAATGTCGGCACTCTGTATTGCGAAAGCGAGTCTACGTAAGTAAGGTGAACAAACAGTAAGGTGAACAAAACTATTATACTCTGTAGCAACATATTGCAAGAATATAAAAATGTTGCTAAAGAATTAAACATCCATTATTCGAAGAAATCGGCAATAAATTACAATCAAATTTGGTATCTTCTTAGACTTAATTTTATTGTTATGTTTTAGTTCGCGTCAGCTAAAATTATATTAAAACTAGTAAGAAAGGGCTAAGTGCGGATGTAACCGAAAATTTTATACTCTCGCAAAGTCAAATTGTGTACTGGTTTTAGATTTCTTTGTGGATCTTGCCGCCTTGGTCTATGTTGACCGATATTTTCGGTAAAAATTCAACTACAGGCACTGGGGTCCACAAATTCAGTACCTAGGGGCTTGAACAGTTTTGGTTCAATTTAGATAATTTTTGGTCACAAGGTGGCATACTTTAAACGTATTATTTAAGCAAAGTTTTATGCCGATATAATTATTGTTGCTTGTTTTCCATATTGGAAAGTGAAAAAATCAGATGGAATTTAAATGATGTTATATGGGAAATAGGCGTGGTTTAATCCGATTTCGTACTATAACATAGAAATATGAGAAGAACATTATGTACTGAATTTGGTTTAAATCGGTTAATCAGCTCCCAAGATAAGGGTTTTCACCTAAAAGTGGGCGGTGCCACGCCCACTATTTAATTTTGAACGTGGTTCCTATAAAATCATCTTATACCATCCCAGAGATAAAATTTAATGTCTCTGGCTAGTTTAGTGCTTGATTTATCGCGCTTTTAGTAGTACCGTTATATGGGGAGTGGGCGGGGTTGTCACCCGATTTCACCTATTTTCACACCATCGATAGAGATGCTAAAAACATTTGCTCCCAGTGAATTTTGTTATTATAGCTTCAGTGGTATAGGAGATATGCACATTAAACTTATTAGGGGGAGGGACCACGCCCACTTTAAAATAAATTTAAACTGCAGATGCCCCTCCCTAATGTGATCCTGTATACTAAATAAGAGTCTTGTTGTGGAGCTTCGTTATGCCAATTTATTTGTTTTTGATTAATGGCGACTTGTGGGCGTGACAATGGTCCGATTATGCCCATCTGCAATATCAAATGTCACACGGTAATATGTATATCAGGTTTCATAAACATATCTAAATTTTTACTCAAGTTACAGCTTGCGCAGACGGACGGACGGACGGACAGACAGTCACCCGGATTTCAACTCGTCTCTTCATCCTGATCATTTATATACATATATTATATATAACCCTATAACTAACTCGATTAGTTTTAGCTGATACAAACAACCGTTAGGTGAACAAAACAATTATACTCTGTAGCAACAAGTAGCGAGAGTATAAAAAGTGTGGAATTTGATGAGGAAAACGTCAACCAGAGGCTCGGAATTCCATTCTACAAGTAATGCAGCGCGAAACCACATAATTTTTAAGAAATCTTGTCCATTTAATTTCGTTAAAATAATACATTTTGACCAACCTGAACGGTTAAAATATAGGTGGAAAGAGGGAAATCATTTTATGGGGTATGCATTAAATTTGATATTGCTTAGATATAGTCGAGAACATATAATTCGAAGCAATTTTATATATAAACTAACCAACCCGGCAAACGTTGTTTTGCAATATACGTTATTTTTCGGAAATGTTTTTTTAGGAAAGATTTTTCAAAATAACTAAGTGTTTAAGGGTTGTAATCATAATCTTAATTGGAATGAAGCGTTGTAAATAATATAAGTGTACTTTATCTAAGTTAATAAACTATTCTTTATTAAAGTATCAAATATATATTAAATTACAATTATTGATAGCTATCTATAAATTTAAAATAAAAAATTTAAAATAAACAATGATTAATCTCTCAACGAATGTACAATATTTTTGGGCAGTACATTTTGGCGAATACAAACAAACTGGATGGTTTGCCCCCGCGAGAACATGCTACATCCGTGGATGGTTTGTCCGTGAGAAAAGCATGGTATACCCAAATCAAAGCCACAAACCGGCAACGTTTGACCTTGTGACTTATCGATCGTCATTGCGAATGCTTTTCTAATTGGAAATTGAGAACGTTTGAATTCAATTAGGAATTCGTGGCAACAATACATTTTCGTCTCGGAACCTGCCATCCAAAATTTTGACTTCAATTATATTTTTCATTAACTTTTTAATTACTAATCTTCTGTCATTGCGAAGCCGTGGTGGGCTCAAATTATGAAATAAAATTACCAGACATCCAACCCATGCTCAGCATATCCACTGAATTCAAAAAGACAATTGGATAATTCACAGCTTCCTTGGCGTCGGTGGATTTCTATGACACCGAGTCCCCTGGCCACAACTGTTGTATCATTGAATTTAATCCATTGGAGTCCACATTATTTGCTGCCAAAATCCAATTGCCATTCAAGATTTTTATATTATGTGTGTACACTAGGAGATATATTGTCGATGAGAATATTATGAGAGTTTACAATTGTGCAAAAATCACTCGGTAATTTTATGCATCCAGTATCTTCGTTTACATCAAATTTTCTATTAACAATATCAAAAAGTTGTTTTGAGAAAGTTTCGACAAATGGATCCTGAAGCATATGAACGCACATGCTAACTGTCGGTTCTACCTCTTTGAACATTACACCACACATTATTACGACAGTCGCGATTATTTCATCAGCTTACGTTGAACGTGTTTGCAATCACCTGAAAGCAGTGACAAATTGCCGTAAAATAGTTTGTCGCGGTGTTTTTAAACCTCTCAATATCCTGTCCAATACCCCAAGCGAATGTTTGTGTGCCACAGTGCCATCGGCCAGCTGTAAGCACGTTATCTTTATTTTTGTATGTAATCACATTGTATCATTTTTTGGAAAGTAAATAAATCGAACATTATTGGTTGGCAGAAAATTTGCAGCCTCGCGGAGTGAAAGTTGCTAAAATGTCCATCAAAATTCCACCATTTTGGCACGCAAAGCCAGAATTTTGGATCGCACAAGGGGAGTCACACTTGATTGCCGCAGGGATAACGAGCGACAAGACCAAATACCACACTGTCATGGCCGCAATAGAAAGCAACGTGCTAGCACATATAAGTGATATTATTCTCAATCCGCCGAACAGCAACATGTAACCAACACTAAAAAATCGCATAATTACGCAGTTCGAAGACTCCGAGCAAAAACGTGTAAAGAAGCTACTACAAGAACAAGAGCTTGGTGACATGCGCTCAACACAACTCTTGCGCGATATGCGTAGTTTAGCAGGCAGCGAAATGAACGACAACATACTAAAGTCTATTTGGATGAGTCGGTTACCTTCCAACATGCGACTAATAATTTCCATCAGCAACGATCCGCTGGACAAAGTTGCCCTGCTCACAGATAAAAGAAGTGAGGTTAGCGACACACTACTTGTACACGCGGTTGAAGTCCAACACACAGCCACACAAGCGTAATTCAGCATCGAGCAACAACTAGCTGAGATCACAAAGAAATCGCTTCGCTGAAAGCAAACATAAATCGTCGAAGTAGCAACCGTGCTCCATTACGCTCCGGCACGCAGAAAAACAGCTTGAGTGATGGTATCACCTAATATTTGGTAACGAAGAAAGGTAAACTAATTCGTCTGTCGCCAATGGCGGTCGACGACAGGCTCAACAGCGTAAACCGCCGCTTAATAGTTCAAGACAAGGTATCTGCAATGAAATTTCTCATCGACACTGGAGCCGAAGTCAGCGTAATTCCAACGATGTCACAACAACTGACAAAAGTAACTACCTCTACACAGCAAATGCACCATTAAAACTTACGGTGGAAAGGTCATGCATGTTAATTTGGTCTACGCCACCAATATTCCCAAACGTATCAAAAGCCATCATCGGAGCGGATTTTTTTATCGCATTTCAACTTATCGGTGAAACTACGACAACGAAAACTCATCGACGACATCACAAGCGTTAGCAAACATTGTTCAGTGTCAGCTAATAAGGAAGTAGGGTCGAATTTATCATCATTTAACAAAAATTAACCGTTGCAGGATTTGCTGAGAGAATTCAAAGACATCACAGTAGAAAATTTCACGACCAATAAACCACAACACCTGGTCACACATTACGTCGTCCCCAAAGAGCCACCAGTTTTCTACAAACCGAGACGCTTAACACCTGAGAAACTAAAAGTAGCTAAAGCCGAGACACAGTTCATGCTAGATGCAGCCAATTGTCGTCCATTTCACAGCCCATGAGCCAGCCCATTTCCCATGGCGAAAAAGAAAAAGGCGAGTGAAGGCCATGCGGAGATTTCAGGGGGGTCGGCTTTAGTATACCATTCCACGATTTCAGGGTTAAGATGGGTATAGTTGGATAGAGAAGATTCTCCAGATAAATATATA